GCCGCGGTCGGAGCAGCGCCACGCGGCGGTCGTCCAGATAGAGGGCGTGTTGTAAAAGCAGAGGCAAAGCGAGACTTCGTTCGTGAGTTCTTTGGCGGTTTCGCCATTGAATTCTGCAGTCATCGTTTCTTGACATGACCAGCCAGGCCGCATGCCATGCGTCCGCCGTCCTCTGACTAGTGACTGACACCTACCAGTTCAGAACAAGATCTGAGTCTTTATTCCATGCGTGTACACATAAATACATGACCGATAATATGAGAGAGAAAAGAAATATTTGCCCAATCGCAGCTTGACTTTGCTCTGTTCCCTAACGCATATATCGGTACTCCGGTACAAAACAGCAAATACTAATAATACTACATAAAAAAACTGAGACCGATCTAGAGAACAGGCAACAACCACAACGGCAAAGGTAATTCAAGATATACAATGCGATTTCAGGATACGTAGAAAGCAACTTACGTATTAGTGGTGGGGCAACATGTCTCAAAATGTGTTTCGAAAAGATAAGAAATTTCACAGATATAAGTGTCACATAAGCGAAATTTGTTTCGTAAAAGTATATTCTAGGGCTAGGAGAATATAACGTGGTGCAACATGGGCATCATAAAACAAGGACCTCCCATAACCGTCGGCTGTCCTTCCCGAGTCTGGCAAAAGCGCGCGTAAGCGCTATAACCCAACCTACATCACGAAGCAGAACAATTAGACAAATATAGAATATGGTTTCAGCACGCGGCTTGCTTAACAAACGGATATCCTGAAGATTGAGCGAAAGTAGGGCTCATCAAGCTGTTCGTAAAAGGCTCTTAGCCAATGACTAGTGGTCGTCATTAACACGTTCTGCACCGAAATTCACTAGCTAGCTCTTGCTCTTAGCAAGAATCTTCCAGCTCCGGGCTGTGACCTGCAGAGTGGAGGAGGCAGCCGCCAGGCATCGCCTGACGTATACGGTCAACTGAAGGCCACGCGCGCATCATTTCATGAAGCGCTTTTTTACTCGTGTCGATTCATCGCAACACTGTTTAGTGTTTCCAACAATATGTGTTTATGCGTGCCTTGAGGTGAGCGCTCAGTATCATGCGTGGTATTGATACCTTAAGAAGTACCGTGAAGCATACTGTAATGTTTTTACACATTCCCGCTGGTGAAATGTGAAATCGATGCACGCGCTTTTATTAGAAGTCGCCACGCATCACAAACTTCAGGGTATCAGCCGAAACTTCAACAGCCAATCGTCAACCGTTACGCTTGATTACACGATTCTTGCATTTCCCGTTTAGCAGAGAATCGTTAGCCAAAACACAAGTATTGCGCTTAAAAGACAATTCCCGAATGTCATATGATCAGCTGCCACATCTGAGCCAGCTTTCAAGTTATGTGCGGACATTTCCATTACGTGTATGCTTGTGTTTTGTAAGCATTAGTCTTGCATGGACAGTTTTTTGTATTCAGGAACTGTTGTACTACACGCTTGCCTTTCTATGGCCTCGAGTTTCTTTTCTACTTCGACCACAACTGTTGTGATAGAGAAGAGCAGTATAGCTATAGCGCCACCCATTGGCACCAACCTCTCCTTATATACACTTAATAACACACAAGAAGAGCGAATTAACGGAAGGTCCAAGTACGAGTTCGTCTTCACATTAGGGGGCCTTTGTCAGACAATTTGTATCTGCCTTTAGCCTCTTTAACCTGGACAATGACTGCCTGAACAAAGTTCAAATTGAGGTATTCCTAAAACTGAGTAAAGTTGAAAGTTGGGTGAGTTGGTGATACTTCATGTTTAGTGTGAATGGAGACGAGGCACAAGAGGAACGAAACGACAGGACAACCACTGCACTTGCAACTATAGTTTAAAACAAACAAACAAAACAAAAGCAGGGTTAATAAACATACGTGACAGCGTACCACTTGTGCCAATGACGTTCAAGGTACATTTTTCAGTGATCTTCAAAAAAAAATCATTTCGCAATCGCTTAGAACTAACGATGCTTGGACTAACCATGACTGAGGTCTTCCATATCACTCAAAGAAAAGATGAGTGCACCAGCCACGCATATATCGTCAAGTTTAAGTTATTGCAAAGTGTCTCTTTTGAAAGATCACTGGAAACTGTTGCAACTTGAACGTCATTATCACACATCATGTATGTTTATTAACCCTGTTTTTTTCAAAATAAACTATAGTTGCGGGTGTAGTGGTTGTGGTTTCGTTTCTGTTGTGGCTTGTATCCGAGTGCTGCTTAACAGTAAATATTCTTTAAATTTTTACAGCTCCCGCCCCCCCCCTCCCCCGGAATTTCGAATATATTTCATGTCATGTAGTCATGCGAACGCCGTAAAGACGAGGTGATAGAAGTACGACATTAATAGCTTGCGCACTAACTTTTTTTACAGTCTGTTTCATGCCTCACAAGACCTTGAAACAGACATTTAAAGCTTTCCCATTGGAAACTACAAATAATGTCCCCATACGCCTTCCTTGGCTTCATTTTCTGCCTGCTTCGTTAGAATATACACACGTCGGGCCTTGCGAGCACGTAGCCAAGACGGACGGGGGGTGAGGGACGAGAGGTTAGCCCCTTCTCTGGAAGTTCGGATGAAAGGGGTGTTTTACCAAGGAAGAAATAATAAAAATATATGTTTTTAAAGGCGTTCAAATGGTACCTACCCCCGACCCTTCCACCCGAAAAATATTTCTGGCTACTGGCCTGGGGCGTTGTTGGTGTAGTAATGAACATTTTGCGCACTACCAACACAACACGTGCGCAATTTTGTCTTGTCCCTCCTAATTCGTCCTCGTATTCCTTCCGCACTAAATACTAATTGTTGTGGTTTAATTAGGACACAGAGAGAAAGAGAGAGAGAGATGCAAGAGAATATACAAGAAGATAGCGTAGAGAGATAATTTGGGACGCGTCTAACAAAGAAACGAGCCCTTGATATACATTCAGCAAACAGGGAGGCGGGGGGTGGGCAGGGTGCACACAAGTAGCAAAGAGGCACACAGCGCTAGTGTTGTACTCCTCTTTGCTTTGTATGTGAGTTCCCCCCCCCCCCCACCCCTGCGATCCCAGTTCACTGAACGATTATGAACCACCAACTAGCCCACCTTTCAATCCTTGATACATTCCCATTCCTAAGTGTCAAACACTGGTTTACAACTCATCATTGGAGCTGAAGCATCGTGTGTTCTGCGCAACACAAGCGTGCTTACAGTGGTATAGACTCGGTGTGGACCGTGCGCACAACGGAGGTTCAGATAAAGTCATTAGCATGAGGGCAGCTCGTGTTTACGCAAAAATTTGGCGTGGAGCATAAATGAGGCACCACACTGCTTCCGATTTGCTCTACGCGTCACTTGGCACTGATCGAGCCTACCGAGCCACGTCTCGGGTGACGGAAAGTCAACGTCACTAGTACCCACTTGTGCCGCCAGCTGACCGCTTTTGTTTCGCAGGAGGTCAAGGTCTGCCTCTAAGCTTTGGCACTTCCGTGCTGTTCTTTACGTCGATTTCAGGCAGTGTTTCGTTAAACCTTCGAAAAATTCCTGAATCTCAATTGACCAGCTCTTGTCAACACCTTTAGAGTGTCAGCAATGAACGACCAAACAGTGTCAAAAACTGCTACAAAGGCTGTTTTAGACTTTATCAAAAGCACTGGACTAGATACTAGATTGTGGGGTGTTATTTTAAGTGGCTACTGCACATATGCATCACCTATTGTTGTCCTCATCATCATCCTTCATCTCTCTTTCCTTCCTCCTTCCCTTATCCCCTGTGTAGAGTAGCAGGCTAGAGCGAACTAGCTCAGGCCGACCTCTCTGTCTTCTAATAAATTCTCCCTCATACACCACACTTTAGAGTTATAAGTATATAGCGCACTCAGGCCTTGTAACGTGAATATCAGAATTGCCGGAATAGCTCCGAGTCAGTCGCTTACATTTGTGGCGGAAACATTGGCCATAAGTTAAAAAAAAGAGAATGCAGCCCTGGTGAAAAACAAAACGAAAATTGCAAAAGCGCTGTGTACCATGTGTGGTGGACTCGCTTCAATCACTCATGCCGATCATAACAGCGTAGCGTCCCGCACTTTGCAGCCACCTGTGAGCCGCCGCAACGGGGACAAACAGCTGCACAAAAATTATGTATTTAATTTGTACGAATAACATGTAAGGGAGCATGCGCGGCACGACTCAATATCCAGACTAAAAAGGCTCATAACGGCGAGGCACTTTTTATTTTTGAAGCAGCTGAAATTTGTATTTGGTCGAACATTTTACCCTAAAAACATTATAGAGGGCGAAGTTGAAGATCAAGAGAATGAAAAATGAACCAAGTGTTCAGCTGGGGCAACTCGACGTATCTTCGTGAGTCACTTTAACACTATGCACGATAGCATTGCAAACACGCGTAGGTAAACAATGTGTTACTCTGCAATTTGACGAGATCACGTGTCAACGCACTATATATAAGCTATACCTAATTCATATTCAGCTTCTCCTGTATATGTATTATATATAAAAAGCTTACGAAGGAATAAATTAAACGGAAGTTAATCAGTGACATCCAGAGAGCAATAATCTGCTATCCATTCAGGTCCTGCAAACAGTGGGACCTTCGTATTGACGATTACAGTATATAGATGTTACAGGACAGGGATGGGTGGATATGTTTCTCTACGCGCACGAATCATTTCGTTGCCTAGAATCCGCATAAACGTGGCAGCGAGAATGTAGCCTCGGTTCGTACACTAGGTAAAAAAAAAAAAAACAGCGTATAAGCAAACCAGGCAAGTAGCCAGGTTTTTCTCCTTTTTTTGGAGGGGGGGGGGTACAAAGCCTCATTATTTGAAAGAAAGTCTTTCTATGAAAAAAAAAAAAAAAACGTTGCCCGGGAATATGGTCGACTGAACAAATTTTTGGCGAGATGGGGGAGGGGGGGACAGGCCTCTATGCCTACATGCCTGACGAAAACTCATGTCGATGCAGCTCACCAGCAGCAGAGCGGCGACTCTTCACGGTCTCCGCCGGCCAAGAACCGCAGCGGCGGCTACGTCGCCGGAGGCACCGCGGGGTCTGGCAATCCGTCTCCGCGTCACCCACGAGAGACCCACGCCTCGTCGACAAAGTCTTGGCCATCGCGACACACTGTCACATCCGCGGTCTGCCAACACTCGCAGCAATGCTTCTACGACGCAGGGTTTGTGCGACCATGGTTCCTGAGCGTGGTGCATCCAAGCCTCAGCGCACCAGATGGCCCAACGTATATAGTCCGTGTAACGTAACTTTCGCGCTCCGAAACCGATGACGTTGATGTTCCCAGAGGTGCCCGCGCGCACTCTTGCACGCGTTGCCCTGCATGTCGGCATTAAAGGCGACGTCGAACCTCTGCACTCACCGGGGAGGATAAGCGGCGCGTAATTTGGGATTACGACAAAACTACACCCGTTCCACACTTCTTCTTCGATGTTGCCTGCCGCGTATACTGCGGGCCTCGCGAAAACTAATTCTCGCGTAGGCAGCGATCACCGCTGCTGCGCAAGTGATGTCCACGAGAGCTCTGCGTCTTCCGACAGACTCGTGCCATGGAAAGCGCATTGGCCGCAGTGTAGCACGCGGCAACCGTTCCGGCGGCCTCGGCAGGGGCCGGCGCAAACACATGTGCGTCTCTGCTGCTGTAGGTCGTGCGCAGCTGTGCGACCCTTGCTGCATATAGTGCACACACGCGCTGAGGCACTGGCAAAACTTCCGCAAATCCCGGCTGTCCTCGCCGCTATTGTCTAAGCACCGTGGACACAACCGTCATCTATATATCTGAGAACGTTCTGGAGGCTATAGAGCACGCACAATTTTTTGTAGGTCGCACATATCTCCAAGGTCTCACTAACATCGACTCATTCGTTAGTGTCTAACGTGTGCCGCTTCTTCAAGCCTCTAAACTAGATAAACTCGTCCACGCGCGTACTGCATGCAGCCTTAAAAGCTGCTTTTCACAAAACCACGCTGTAGGTAAGCCCCGCAGTGGCGGTCCAGTGACTAAGGTACTCGGCTGCTGGTCCGCAGGTCGCGCGATCGAATCCCGGCTGCGGCGGCTGCATATTCGATGGAGGCGGAAATGTTGTAGGCCCGTGTGCTCAGATTTGGGTGCACGTTAAAGAACCCCAGGTGGTCGAAATTTCCGGAGCCCTCCACTACGGCGTCTCTCATAATCATATGGTGGTTTTGGGACGTTACACTACACATATCAATCAATCAGCGATGTAGGTAAGTGTCTTGCGGTGCATCACGCACCTATCTTACCGCATCACTTCGCGCTTAAGGCATTTTCGCCTTACAAATAGTTGTCTTTCTATGTGATTTAGCAGATAATTTAAGCTATGGGAAACACGTATTATCGTATATCGTTAGCTTCTTCATATATCATTAAAACGACCGAACAAACAGCACAATTTTTTTCTCTTTCCCCCTCATCCTTTGCCAGTTCCCTGCGTGTCAGTGAAGCTAAGGGCTCCTTCACTTCCCCTTTTTTTTCGTTCTTTTTTCTTTAATGCCCATTATCTACTGTGTGGAGATTCGCAAGGCTCGATGGCGATTAAGATGACCGATAAGGTCACGGTCACGCACTAACCGTAATCACAGGAGAGCGATCGAACTGCACGTTTTCTCGGCGCTTTTAGGGGCGAAGCTCCTTATGGCGTGGCTCGTGCGTCCCTCGTATATAGTACGTAACCACCAGTGGCACATACCCGAAATAGCGGTCCTTACAATGTCTGCTGGATGGGGGCACTTGTATACGATGAATACATGATAAGAAGATGTGAGATGGCTGTGCTTGGAGTTTTCTCTAGACATATGGACGGACGAACGGACTGACACACGCACGGACGGACAGACAGAGGGATGGCCGCAAAAAGAGATGGACGGACAGACAGACGAATGAACAAACGGACGGATGCACCAAGGATCACACAGATAGGTGGACGCAAGAACGAATGGACAGACAGACTGACGAATGCTGCGCCCCACCAATCATCATTCACTCCGTGGATATGCTGTGATTTTTTTTTGTTGGCAGGTAAAATTCATTAGATCAACTTCGCTGGACGCGCAGGATAAAGATGAACATTTCGTCTCTGATCGGGCTTCGGGGAATTCCCGAGAGTCACTTATTTTGAAATGAACATGTCGAAACTTCGCCGATGATAGGGCAGAAATATTGTTTACGGCTAATAACGACGTTAACAGCAAGGCTTTATTCACATACAAAAACAAAGCGCAAGAGCAGACGCGCGACGTCGTCTTCCTCGAAAAACGCCAGAGACTGCCGCTCGTGATGCTGGCTTCTTCCTCCTTTTGTGTTTACGGCTAATAACCGTGACAATATGCCTGCCTTGTAGCGCGTGGTATACGTATTCTCAAAAGCCTGTGGTCGGAAAAGACATGTCGTTTCTCAACTCCATCTTGTGCGAACACTGCGGAAAAATTTAATTGCATTTCTTGAATAATACGTGCAAGAAACATTGTGGACTTCGCAATTGAATAGCTTGCTGTAGTTATAGGACGTTTATTAACGCACAGATTTATTGCGTGAGGTGTATGCCCGCCCTCTACCGTAGAACTTAAACCTCCAAGAACACCAGTGTACCAAACTGCCTTTTTGAGCTTATTTCGTCATTTGGCACCAGCCGTCACTCAATTGGACTTCCACAGCACGCACTCGTTGTATGTATGATGCTTACACATACATACAATTTGACATACAATATGACACACAATTTGTCATAAATGAGAGTTGAGACGTCTAACCAATACAGAGCAGGCGTTTTTCCCCTTTTCTCAGAACACAGTCTATGCTGAAAGGAACACGCCAACCACGACATATTAGGCCCCATACAGTCAAACAAAGGGAATTTCCCAAAGAGAGCTGTACTATTCATAACAAATGTTATATCGGCTAGAGACGATGTTTACGATATTCTTCTCATGCCTTACATTCACGTAGTATTAGCATTATTTATTGGAGCGGTCTGTGGCACCAGACGTCGTGTTACAGTTTCATTAGCGTGAGTTTCATTACACACTACGGGGACAGCTTACGCTACCACTTCGGTCAAACGGCAAATTTCCAAACCACTACAGCTATAGCCGCGGCTCAATCGAAACAGTGGAACCCATTTTGTTTGAATTTCGAGCGCATGCTGATGAGAGTGTGCTCTGAAAACATTGCATGATTTTGGTAACACAAAGAACTTTGTCGTTGGCTGTGTCTTCAGCCTCTTAACCTGCCTCTGGCAACAGAAGCGCGCGATGAAACTTCTATTTACAAATTGAGATAGTATTGTTCAGCTCGAAAAACGTTACTTGTCCCCTTGAATGCACAAAATGAAAGAATAGATCAGCGTGCGTTCCCGCCCAAGAGCCAGAAAACTCCGTCTGATTATTATTCCTTTTTTATCCTATATCAATATTTTCTTTTACATATCTTATGCCTCCTCTGCCTTTCTATACTCAATCACCGTCCCCCCGCACAGTAGCAAGTAAGCAATTCGTACAAGCCAGCTAAATTCTCTGCCTTTCAATGTATACAGAGTTCTCTCTCCTCTCTGTAGTTAACTGGACCATGTCCGTGCAGATCTTATTGAAATGAATTGTACTTTTATAGGGACTGATATAATACGGCACCTTTTAATTAAGCAAGCTCGAAGAATGAACTCAGAATAACGTTAAATCAGCTTATTAGGCAATGAATGCAAGTCTCGCAGGCCACGTACCTCACTGAACAGCCACAGTTTCTTGAGCACAAGAACGCGGACAGAGATAGAGGCTGGGACGCTGTTCGGCGCATCTTTCGTGTAAGTTCGGATTGCTGTCGTGTATTATTATCCCAGCGGTGGCGGCGGCGGCGGCGGCGGCGCCGCCACCGCCGCCACCGCCGCCGCCACCGCCGCCGCCACCGCCGCCGCCACCGCCGCCGCCACCGCCGCCACCGCCGCCGCCACCGCCGCCACCGCCGCCACCGCCGCCGCCGCCGCCGCCACCGCCGCCGCCGCCGCCGCCGCCGCCACCACCGCTGGGATTCGATTCCAGGACTCTTCAGGTCGGCAGTCAAGTACCATAACACTAAACCACCATGGCTGGTGCTGCCGCATCTTTACGACGCTTCTCATGCAACCTAAATTTTTTCGCGGGAAAACAAAATAAATCGCACGACTGCTATTCGGGTGCACATCGGACAGAGGGCGGGAATGTGGTGTTTTGCCAGCTCTTCCTAGACTCGGGGTGCTGCAGTCTGTGGTCTCGCGTCATGTTCATAAGAAACACTGCCTGATTGATTTGTGGGGTTTAACGTCCCAAAACCACCATATGATTATGAGAGACGCCGTAGTGGAGGGCTCCGGAAATTTAGACCACCTGGGGTTCATTAACGTGCACCCAAATCTGAGTACATGGGCCTACAAAGAAACACTGCCTAATCGACTAATCAGAACGGCCCCGCCCATAACCTAGCGCAAATGTAGGTGTATAGAAGTTCTGGATTTATTGCGATAGCAATTATGCGGACGCATATTTGAGCCACATTGAAGACCCATGTGCAGCAATGCCGTTGGCCTGCTGTCCAGTGGGGCCGCCAAAGGCGGGGGGTATCATGGGTTCATCCCCCCTCCAGAAAATATTCAATTTTTCAACGCACACGTACAAACGCACGCATGAACATACATCAAGTATAGTTAAATGCCCCTCCCACCACCAAAGAAAAAATTCTGGCTACACTGCTGCTGCTGCTGTCCTCCCATTTGTGGGTGATTATATAGAATGCCTTCAGAGACGCCAGGTGCTGTGCTTTCGAAAGTGAAGAATATTTGTGGAGGAAGCTAAGCACTCAATAAAAGCAACTCAATATAGAGTGTAGCGTAACGTCCAAGCTTGAAGTCACTTCCTTTTTTAACGCGACATATAGGCTACTTGCCCTTAAGGCGTAATACTTCGTATGTATATGTGTACTACAGATGCGTGTCGTAAGACAGGTGTTGTGTATGAAGGGAAGCAGCGTTTTGTGGCATATACGTTATCACATGTTACCGCGCTCAGGATACACAGCCAAGATGCACATCTCATAAAAAGAAGCTTCTGGGCGCAAC